TCTCGTTTGCGAACAACACGTCTCCAACAATACACTCATGAACAAATAATTTCATTATTTGGGTAGCCAAGTAATAATGTCACTACTCGTTACATAGAAAGATATTATTATAAACATTAGCCGCACCTACTATTAAGCTTAATAAGCTAGTGGTGATCACATTAGCATCTCTTATCAACAACTAACCCTGAAGGTATGCAAAAGTAAATTTTGCTCATTCAGCTAGTAAAAGAACTGACATTAAGTGGACACATCACAATCATCACAGTGCTATAAACTGTTTAAATGAACTATTTAACAATTTTTAAAACAAATGAGCTTGTGCCTCTTCTGCAGTTTCAGGGGCAAACCCGCTGAGCTATCCTGTCATCGGATTGAACTATCCTAATAAGACGGCAGTGCCCCCACACTGACATTGTTCCTGTAGTCAGACTTTTCTTCCCCATAACATCTCTCTCTCTCACACATAAACTCTATTACTTGCACACTACACACAGACTACTCACACTGCAGCGAGCGAACTGTCTTTCCTGGGTTTTCTCTTTTTGTGAGCATCACTGAAGTCCAGAGCAGCTTTGTCCAGTCCCAGCAGCTCACTGATTCGGTCATGGCCATAAAACTCTCCATATTTATCCATCACCTAAGAAAGAGCAGGACTTCTTAAACGGATGCTTTCCACTTTTTCATTTCCCAAAACAGTATTCTATCTAGAAAACCTTAAACTACACAGGGAAAGATCACACCAATGTGGCAGGACTGTAGTTTAACAGAATGAGCTACCCAGTACAACCAGTGTCCTCAAAGACTTGCCATTTGTACAAGTTCAATTTGGAATTTAGGAAAACATTTTTAAAACATTTGTATCCAGTAAAACAAAACAAAACAAAACTTACCTTTCTCTTCACAAATTTATCCCAGTAGTTATTGGGGAAAGATCTGAAAGTCAAAAGACAAAGTTACTGATGGGTCAGTCTGGCACAGACCCACTGCAGGAACAAGACAATTCTACTACAACAGCAAAATCAAGACGCAAGTCACCAAAGTTCATTGTGTTACTGGTGCACGAGGGAGGCCCGACTGAAGTCGAGTGTTGTTCCGCCCACTTGACCTCCGTCGGCCTCTCAGCCAGGTTCCCTGTAGCGCTCCTTTTATTGTGGTTACATGAATATGCATAGGTTCATTAACATATGGCATCTTACATAGGCGTACATGTGTTCCTGTGAAGACTCCCCAAGCTGGTGCTAGGAGCGCTGTGGTCCACCTAAACAAAGGGCTCTTATACTTAACCAGATGCAGAGTAGGTGTCCTCCTATACCATAAATCACTAAGAGAAGGTATGACCTCTTTCATGACCTTAAGATGTGTGTGTATGCCAGAACACTCTGAAAGGCACACAGAGTCGTTACAGACTACTATGGATCAAACCTCTATCAATCTACAAACAATTTTATACTTCTAAGAATATATTGTTATATATTTCTAAGCATAAATGACAATCCACAATATAAACCTAACAGTTACTCTCTCTTTCGCATTTACGCTCAGTTCTTTCTTCACCACAACAGACCAGTACAGCATCCGCATCACTGGAGCCGCAGCACCAATCCATCTGTCGATTTCCTCCTCCCCTCTCCCCTCACTCGTGAACAAGACACCGAGATACTTAAACTCCTTAACATGGGGCAGAAACTCGTCCCAGAACCAGAGAGGGCACTCCTGCCTTTTCCGGCTGAGCACCATGGCCTAAGACTTGGAAGTGCTGATTCTAATTCCTGACGCATCATACTTGGTTGTGAACCACTCCATTGTGAGCTGCTAGCCACCACCTGATGAAGCCAACTGAACCACATCATCTGCAAAAAGCAGAGACAATATTCTGAGGAAGTGGAACCCTTCCGCCACTTGGGTATGCCTAGAAGTTCTGTCCATAAAAATTATGGATAGAATCAGTGACAAAGGGCAGCCCTGGTGGAGTCCAACACTCACTGGGAATGAGTCTGATTTATTGCCGGGTATAAGGACAAAGCTCTTGCAACAGTTGTATAAAGATCGAATGGCTCGTAACAACAGGCCAGATGCCCCATACTCCCGAAGCAAATTCTGCTCCAAAGGACATGGTTGAAGGCCTTCTCCAAGTCCACAAAAAACATGTAGACTGGTTAGGCAAACTCCCATCCACCCTCAAGTATCCTTTAGAGGGTTAAGAGCTTTTCCAGTATTCTGCCACCAGGATGAAAATCACATTGTTCCTCCTGTATCCAAGGATCGACTAATGGATGGACGCTGCTATCCAGCACCCCGGCATAGACTTTACCAGGGAGGCTGAGGAGTGTGATCCCCCTATAGTTGGAGCACACTTAACACTTAACTGCCTCTGTGACCTCACCCCTGGTGATGGACGAGTCGTCCCCTTTGTCCCCAGACTCTGCTTCTTGGGAAGACTAACAGTGGGATTAAGGAGGTCCTGGAAGTATTCCTTCCACCGCCCAACAATATCCTCAGTCGAAGTCAGCAGCGCTGCACCTGCACTATACACAGTGCATGTAGAGCACCGCTTTCCCCTCCTGAGTCGCCTGATGGTTTGCCTGAATCTCTTCGAGGTAGTCTGAAAGTCATTTGCGGCATGGCCTCTCCGAACTCCTCCCACGCCCAAGTTTTTGCTTCTGCAAATGCCTGAGCCGCATTCGCTGTTGGTACCTATTGGCTGCCTCAGAAGTCCCACAGGCTAACCAAACCCGAGGGGACTTCTTCTTCAGCCTGATGCTTTCTTTCACCTCCGGTGTCCACTATCTGGTTCAGGGGTTAACACCATGACATTGCACCAACCACAGACACTAACACCCTTGCCGCTGCAGTTTAGTGGAGCGACTTCAGCAATTTAGGTCCTGAACATGGTCCATTCGGACTCCATGTCCCCAGTCTCCCCCCGAATGCTGTAAAAGGTCTGCTGGAAGTGGCAGTTGAAGTACTTGCAGACTAGGTGTTCCCAGTGCAGCCTCACTTTACATTTAAGCGCCCCGGATATGTTCAGCATCTTTGCCTGACACCTGATCGAACTTACTACCAAGCAATGATCAGTTGACAGCTCAACACCTCTCTTCACCTGAGTATCCAGAACATGAGTCCACAGATCTGATGATACGATTGCATAATCAATCATTGACCTGTGTTCTAGGAATCCTGGTGCCACGTGCACATATGGACACACTTATGTTTTAACATGGTGTTTGTTATAGACAAACTGTGGTTTGCACATGAGTTTTTGAATCACTCTTTGTCTCGTCCCCTACCCAGGTTGGGTGCAGGTTATTCCCCCAACAAAATGATATGCTAACTGATCAACAAGAAAGATAATTCAAAACTATGATTCAGTTGAAAATCGGTTGAACCTCTAACAGAATCACATCATGAGTTTCATCGGCCTGCACCTGTGCTTAACCCCCATCCTACCAACTGGGTAGGATGCAGCCCTCAGAGGTATAATTTTCTCTCATAACTTATAAGTGATTTCTTGTTTGTTTTTTTAAGCATTTCATTTTTCTATGAGGTGTAAAAAATTGGTATGATTTATTCAGTTACTATTCAGTTACTGTCTGCCATGAATCCTACGTATCACACGGTATAAAGAGAGGTATACTGTACTACGTCATTTTAAAGAATAACAACTCGGAGGCCATCATGGCATTCATGATCTGGATGAGAAACTTTAAAGACTGGAAGTTATCAGAACATTGCAGATGTCGCCAAATCTACCTGATGCTGACTGAAGCTCTGGTCATGCTACACATGAAAAGGAGAGCTGATGTTGCAACCTTCCAAGCCCTAATCCAGTCCCTGAGGAAAACTTAATGTGACTCTCAAATGTTTGACTGGAAAATCTACTTGAAAAGGGATTTAGTTTAGTACGGAAACACAGACAGGAAGGCAGCAACTGTTTGCTCTTCCTATTACATGCCAGCATTCCCTGAGCAAAGCATGAGGAAAACTGTGTGCTACAACTGCTTACAGTGTGTTTTTAACTTTAATTATTTTTGGTCATTTCCAGCACAATTATGGTGAGAGTTGATTCACATTGCATTGTTGGTCTCTGCAAGGGTTGTAACTGATTCAGATTGATGCAGGAAACACTGGCAGGATTAGATCTTTGCCCTCATTGGTTTTGTGCTTACTTCCAATATTTTATACTGGGGTAAAATTACTCTAATTGGGTTCATATATAAATACAACACAAATAACGTTTGATTAAATTTAATGAAAAGTAGGTGATATCAGAATCAAATGATGGTAAACAAGCTGTGAATAACATGGAGTATATTTGGGATAAAATCTGCAAGTTCCATTAAAGAGAAGTATTGATTTTTGTTTCCAAAATATGCAATTTAATTGCAACTTTGCAAACATAATAAAAGTCTTCTTTTTAGATGAGATTAAATAATGACGATTAATTCATTGACTATAAATATGGGTTGCTAATATTATTATTAATATTATTATTATTATGCTATTATATTTGTTTTTTGCAGTAAATTATTCTCAGGGTGGCCACTGACCCCAATCACCACTGGATGTATGTTAAATATGGCAGAAGGTTGAGGGTTAATAGGCTGTCTACAAACTCTATCTTCTATTTCTTTATACATGCAGCAGTCACTTGTTTTCATCAATGAAAATAGTCTGTATAACAAACAACAATTTGATATACACATGCACACTCTCGTGTAGGGTCTACTTACTGTGTGTTGATTACCAGTCTGTCCCACTGTCCTTTGATGTCATCTTCTGATGGCTGCTCTGTTATATAAAGGCCATCAAATTCCAGCTTCCTAGCGACCTCCTTTTCACGTTTAAAGATCACCAGTGGCACCTATATAATGCACGCAAACAGTGGAGAAATGCAGATGTCAATGGGTTCTAGACTTAAGACTAACTGTAAATGATTGAAGCTCTTAACTCTTAGTAACTGTCCTTATATTGAAATACACGTCAGCTTGTCCAGTTTCACATTTCTACACAGAGATTTGACAATAATTAAAACTTCAGACAGATTTAAAGTGAGCATTAATAATGTCTGAGTCTTATGTCACTTGCAAAATATAATTGAGGATTTTGCAAAAACTGCTTTTTGCAAACAGGTAGCTACAAAGTAGTATTAGGGCCACATTAAAAAAACTTCTCACTTCATTATAAAGAATGCAGTGGTTTTAAAAAAAGGAGCAATATAATATTTTTGCATGTGACACAGTAAGAGTCGCTTCATTAACACATGGTTCAGTCAGGAATTGATGGTAAATAATGTTTCCTGTTCTCCTACAGGTTGGCTGTTTTACATACTGTATTTCAGATTTACAGGACAGACTTGATTGTAATGAAGCAGTCATTCTGAATAAATCTCTGATGGCACACAGGATTCCTTTATTTCAAACATACTGATTCATCTAAAGCTGCCTCATGCCGTTTTGTTTCCAAAAAGATGCACAGGTGTAAAGCCTGAGTATTTGCTCTATTAGTTTAGTCAGTATGTTACTACTACTATGTTAACTTGCTCAAGAGGTCTGCTCATTTGTGATTTAATAATTTGCATTGATCTTGGTAGAATGGATTGACCTTTATTGAAATGACCAGACTACATCTTTGTGCATAAAGTTAATGTAGATTACCCATAGACCTTTCCAATGCTTTTTTGTGTGGTATTGCACAAATTTGACCGACTGGCGTAAGATTTAATAACAAACTCTGTGGTTGTTAATGGCAAATACTAATTGCGGATTCTAACATTTTGCACTAATTTCTGTTGTATGTCACAGTGAATATCCTACCTTAAGACAGTAGTATCCAATGATGCAGAAGAAGGAGATGACCGTGTGCAGGACAGCAAGGATCCGTAACATGGGCTCCATGTAGCCACTGCTCTCTTCCAGGACAAAACGAACGGTGACAGGCTTCTGGGGCGTGCTGGTCTGATCCATCACCTCTTCCTTTGCATCCACAGTTGCCCCACCTAGTGGATCCCACTGAATGCTGCTCTCTGAATGGCTGGTGTGCACAACTTCCCTCTCCTCAGTCACTGATGAGGATGTAGAAACCTGGAAGGGAAAATTTTAGTCTAGTTATGTAAGCAAAGAAAACAAAGTAAAATAACATCAGTATCAGCTATTAGTCCAAAATTTAGTTTTAATTTTTATGACTGATTTGTCCTGAACCCCAACTTCAGGCTCTATAGCAGGGGTGGGCAACTCCAGGCCTCGAGGGCCGGTGTCCTGCAGGTTTTAGGTGTGTCCTTGGATCCATCACAGCTTATTTAATGACCTTGTCAGCATGTCCTGAAGTTCTCCAGAGGCCTGGTAATGAACTAATCATTTGATTCAGGTGTGCTGACCCAGCGTGACATCTAAAACCTGCAGGACACGGCCCTCGAGGCCTGGAGTTGCCCACCCTAAACATTGTAACCTAAAGATTCTAAACCAAGCTATAAACACAGCAAATACTGAGTGTGAGTCTTCTGAAGAAACATACAATGTAGTACTGGCATACTAATTATTAACAGAATATTAAATGATTTGTGATTTGCACAAGTTTGTACCAGTTTTGTCCTTGTTCGTAATCTGGGACAGCAATGGAACTTTTTTTCCTAACCCTTGGAAAAAAAAAGTTTTGCCCCCAAAACACAAATATTTGAATGATTACTTTTAAAAATCATAAACATACAATGACTGTTATTTAAAATATTGACTATTATTTACTGGACAAATCTTTGATCAAGACTAGGCCTCAATATGGTGTGTGTTTGTGAGCTAGAACTGTGCATCCATCCATCCTCTTCCACGTGTCCTTATTAGAGTCACGGGGGGCTGGAGCCTATACCAGCTGCCATAGTGCAAGAGGCCGGGTACACCTTGGACAGTTCACCAGTCTATCACAGAGCTACCACATATAGAGCGATAACCATTCGCACTCACATTCACACGTGTGTGCAATTCAGAATCATCAGTTAACCTAACCCCAATAACAAGAACCATTAAATCCCAAACTGCTAGCTGGCACACTCCATCTCACTGCCTTTTTATTCAGCATGTCGATTTAGCAAAGTCACTTTGAAGATGGAAACTGGTTGCAGACCTGGTCTCTTCTTTAAAGAATTTACTGCAGAGGCAATAAGTTGGTAAGTTCATTGTAAATGGTTACAATGATTTTGTTCTTCCTATGGTTACCAACCACTGTTTTCCCTACTGAGACTGCAGGATAAACAACAACAAACAACTTTCTCATTTTACTCAGCGCAAATAGAAGAACACTCATTAATGAGAAGTACAATGAGTGCATTAGTGCTCTTTAAAACATGCACTCACTCCTACTCTAACTCAAGCGTAAGACTTTCCACTGCAAAGGCCCATAAAACAAAACAAATTTTCAAGTGTCCACAAGCAGTAAAATCCCTTGTATCATGTGCCTTCAATAACTGCACTGTTTAATTTGAAACCATTGCATGCAGCACCACACTCTGTAGAAGAAGATGAGCAGAATGTAATCACAAGAACATCCTTGGTGCTGTTACCTTATAGAACAGAAGGATAAAGTTTATTGCAAAGGCAACAAACAGAGCCAACATCCTCATGTTGTAAAAGTTTCTGGCGAAGTAGTTCTGTAGGAGAAACCAAAAGATGAGCAAAGAAAGTGTTTATTAAAGCTATGGATTGAGATGTTGTATAATAATAATAATAATAATAATAATAAGAAGAAGAAGAAGAAGACAAAGAAAAAGAATAAGTTGTCCATACCAGCAGTTTCCTCTGGTAGGCAATGATCTTCTTTAAGAAAGCTGACTCCTGAACATCAGGTTCGTCAGACTTTGAGGTGTGATGCCTCCTCATTTTTGGTTTCATTGTCTCGTTCTTTGACTGTTTCTCTTGTTTCTCTACAACATCACTTCTGAAACCATAAGCCAACACAGATATTTTTAAAATGACATTACTGTGGTTTTATTCATTTACTGTCTTTTTAGGTTTTTGGAGTTTAAAATTAATGGACTAATGCTTGTTATACACTATAAAGTCCCCAATCTTTTTTGCGCCATTGTCCGACAATATTTTCACGGATCGGCCATTAAGGTGTCACGGATAAATCCTGTACCGGTACCAAAAAAAAAGAGAAAATTTATTCATAGCACACGGGAAAAGACCCAGGGAAACTGAGTTAATGATAAAAAAATAATGATAAAAACCCTGAAAACCGTAAATTTAACACCCGAGTCTCAACTCTCGCGGCCCGGTACCAACGATTCACGGACCAGTACCGGTCCATGGCCAGGAGGCTGGGGACCGCTGCTATAAAGCATTCTTTAATGCTGTTTGATGTGATTATTTCACTAAAAAAGAAACAGCATCAGGTCCTAAATGTATTAGTGAAAATGCATGCATGCATTTATGCAATTCAAACATCCAGTTCCAAAAACATGTTTACGTACTCAGATGTTTTTTGAGGTTCACATTTACTCTCTGGTTTTGATTCCATCTCCTCTGAGCTCTTTGACTGGAACAGAAAAATGAACAGTTAGACAAAAATCCACACATTTGGTCACTTTTGTGGCTGATGACATGCTTGTACTGTTACTGTTGTAGAATGTCAGTATTTCTATGTTGAAATGGGCAGAATTTAGTCAGAGGAGTCAGTGAAGTTGTGCAACATCTGAATCAAAATCTTAAGACATTCGATCATTTGATCAAAGCTCACGGACACATTAGCTGATTGTGAAATTGTTATCTTTTACCATTCAAAATCAGCGGCTGTGAGAGAGGTGATCCATTTTAAACAGCTCAAGATAAACCTCCATGAAAGTGAGCAGTAAAGTTTCCACCATGGCTATCAAACTAGCTAAAAGAACATGTTTCTGAGCGGATGGAGAAAGTAGAACAGAAATACGTAAAGTCGACAGACTTTAACTATTTTTCCAGAGTGTCCAACTGTAAATCTGGGAGATTTGCATATATTAGAGTCATCTATGTATAAAATGAAAATGTATTTGTTGATGATTGTTTAAACATGTTGTTTCACCATGTCCCAAACACCAAATACGAGGGCTGAGGTCCCAAATATCTTGTTTATTAGATCTGCCCCTCTGCATCATAGAAAACGTAATACATAGTTGTCTACAATAGGTTATCACTGTAACCTCTGCCAGAAATCAGTTGGCAAAGGCCAATACTAAACTTACAAAACAGTCTATTTATTTTAATAAAAGATATGGGAGATTGACAGTCGACTGCAGGGATACTGAGACATCGATGCCTGGGTATTCACACTTGTTAAACACTGGTATATCATAGAGCAGTGAAATCCTTTCATTGGAATATTCAAAGGTAGAAATACAGATTTAGTCCAATTAATCCTGGACTCTGATATATGTCACCAAAACCTTTAAAAGAAAGAATGCTCACGGCCGAGGGGTAAAAAGCAAAGAAAGGAGAAAAGAAAAAAGTGGAGGGGAAAAAGCAGAGCCTCTCACTTGTGTCATGAAAGAAAGTAAGAAAGAAAGAAATCACCTGATGTCTCCTTCTGACTTCAGGTTGGGGTGCTGTAGGTGGAGTTGGAAGGGGAACCGGGGAGTTGAGAAGTTCAGTAAAGCTGGCGTTGGGGTTATGGGGGGTGATTTTGTACTGGCCCCCTTCCCTTCTTAAGTCCAGACCAAAAATGTCTGACAGCAGCTCTGTCTCACTGGTATTGACTGTCAGGTCAGCCAAGTCTTCCCCGGTGGAGCTGTGATCAGATCTTTTCTCCCTGTTCTCCCCCTCACCGCGCACCTCGTCTTGAGTAGGGTCTGGCATATTGGCCAACAGCTCTGACACCTAGGGGCAGAGGCATTTTAGCTATTAGCAAACAGCTATTACTTTATTTTATTATTTTATTATTTTAAAAAAATCTATAATAACCTTTATGGTCTTGGCCCCCTCCACCAGGTTTTCTCCAATGAAAGTGTTGTAGAAGATTCTGCAGAATCCTCGAGCCACATTGAATGCCACATGGAGGAGGCCCAGCAACACCGACCAGTAGGTGGAGACCAGGGTGGTTACCATGTCCTTCACAGTCATGTTCTTTATCTTCTTCATTTGCTTCTTTAAGCTCTTCATGGACAGTACCTGAAACCAAAGTTACTGGTGAACTGTGTTCAGTAGTATTACTGTAGACATCGTCAAGAAAGGTGAGAGTGAAAGAAACTGAAGTCCCCGTGGCTTATGTCTTATTACATCTGAGAGAGGGTGAATGGTCTTAGCACCAAATTTACATGTGATTTTGCTGATAGTTAATCATGCTTAATATTGATCAGAATATAATCAAGTTTAACCAATACAATGAATCAGAAGATATAATCAGTCTACTAACAGATTTTGTATGAAGTGGCTAGTCCAAGCTGCGTGTGCATGTATGTATGTAAGAAGGAGGGAGGGGGAAGTGAATGAAACTCTAACAAGACAATGATATTAGAAAATGTATGATATTGATATGGCATTAGTAAAAACAAAGTAAAAGAAAAGTAGTTGAAGCTATGGCTTGGCTAATTTGGGTTGAAAGTGAACATTCAGTGAATGTGTAGATGTCACGGTTCTGGGTCATTTTGACCCATCATTTTGAGTTTCTTATGTTTTGGTTTATTTTTGGATTATTTTCTGATTCTCTTGTGCTTTGTTGATTATTATTAGAATTCTATGTTTCAGTTTATTCTGGTTAATGCTTTAGTTCTTAGGTTTTGTTGGTTTTGTTTGGTGTCCTCGTTTTTCCTGCAGGTGTAGTTCAGAGTCTAGTCTGCGTCTTTGTGTTGCCATTTCCTGTTTTATTGTGAAGGTCCACGTCTTATGTCAGTGTGTCTAGCTACACTCCCCCTGTCTCGTTAGCCCTAATCTCTCCCAGCTGTGTCTCCCTCCTGTTTTCCATTCCCTGATTACTCCCCTGTGTATATAGGCCTTGTGTTTGCCTTTGCTCTCTGTCGTGTCGTACTCTCAGATTGTGCCTGTGTGTTTCTGTTCTCAGCAAGGGCGTAGATTTGGTATGGACGGGAAGGACATGTCCCCACCAATATCCAGCGATTATTGAATTGTCCCCACTAATAATTTGATCTCTTGGAGTAAAGAAAAACAACCCGATCTGTCAGCGTCTCATTCACCCAGCGGAGCAGAAAGAGTTAAATTATGTTCTCTACTGGAGTCCTACGTCATGTGACAAATATGGCCAATGTGATTGGCTGAGCCTTTCAGGGAGCTCTGTTTAGTTTTAGCAGCGGCAAACCTGCGCTGCGAGGAGGAGAGGAGGACGGCAGCAAAGAGGAAGAAACTGGATATAACAAAGAATTTTTCAAAGAAACCTGTAAGTGACTTAAAGTCAAGTTCACTCATAAAACCTGTCCATCATAATAACGTTACAGGCTATGCTAGGCAATACATGCCAACCCTCCCTAAACTAAAGTATAAAATACTTAGTCAGTCATTTGTTTAATAGTAACTTAAAATTATATAATTCACATATAAATTAAATTCACTTTGCTTAGGCTGCTGCCCCCGTGACCCGGCCCCGGATAAAGCGGATGAAGATGGATGGACATATAAAACTATGAATTGTAATTTTAAATGGTTTAAAAGCAGGTAGAATAGCATATGTAGGCAAGTATATATCTCCTTTTTTTTTTATATCAAGAAGCAAAGACGAAAAGGAAAAAAAAGAAACTGGGCAGGGTTCGGTGGTTGAATCATCCGTCCCCACCAACATTTAAACCAAATCTACGCCCTTGGTTCTCAGTGTTCAGTTCATGTTTTGTTTCATCTGCAGCAGAAAAGCTGAGGTTTACAGCTGCAATTCAGTCTCCGAGTCCTGCGTTTGGATCCTCATCTCCGCCTGCCCGCACACAGAGCCCTGATAGTAGATAACTATTTTAACGTACGACAATATATGGTATTTTTACTTAAAATTATGTTTCTGTCTCATTGTATGTTTCACGGTGAGCTTATCTGACTGTGTGGGAGACATCTTTTCCATCCAGTGTCACACATCTTTAGAGGATCTGCCATTTGCTGAATTCAGGGTTTAAATATATATATATGTATCTAAGAGTTTTGAAATTGGAATCAAGTTTCTTATCTCTGTTCTTTAGAAAACAGAAAGCATTACTTTCAAAACTGTTCAAACACTATTTTAGAATATTCCAAAATACACCCAGAGTGAGCTGTTAGCTATGCTCAGTGTGTAACTCACCTTTATTAGCAGCATGATGTTATATCGAAGTGCTAGCAGTGCCATGTAGACCGTGGTGACAGAAAAGAACCCCACATCGGGGCTCTCCTCATCTGGCTTCTCACGCTCGCTCTCCTCTTTTATCGCCAAGCGCTCACCAGCGTCAGACATCTGAGCTGCCAGCTGCATTTCAAATATGGTGTCCTCACAGAAATTCACAAACAGCTCCATCTTCTCTTTCTCCCCTCCTTCATTCACCACATCAAAGATGAACTGACGCTTGGATTCCTTTACCTAGGATAAAAATACAAACTTTGGCATTGGTAGTGACATACCAAAAGGACAAATGTCATATTTTCTGATTTATTCGCTGTATTTACCTGAGGTTTTTCCCATTGTGTACGACTGGACTCGCTGATCTCAAAGTAGACCCTCTCGATCCGCTTTGCACTTCCCATAATCTCGATACGGCCTAGGTATGGTTGGAAGTAATTGAGGACACTTTCTGCCAACTCCAGGAAAGTCTGCAGCCGGGTGTCATGAGGCATGTGCTCTGACAGGTTGGTCAGCAAAACCGCCACGTTGAAGCCAATGTCCTGTGAATTTGAAGATCAATTTTTCATGGGAACACTTCTATCCATATCTTCTCTATTATGCAGTAATTTCTGGGTAAATATGAAGTGCTTCTCTGTAATTTGCTAAATCTCAACCAGGAGCATTTGTAAATTTGTACTTGTACTCCACCTTAAATGTAATAGCTGACCAAATATACCAGGATTGGATTGAGAGTGTGCAACACAGAAAACAAGCAAATGAAGCAAAACCAACTTAAAGATGCTAACAAATAATGACTAAACAAGAAAAAGGAAAAAGGAAAATGGAAACAGAAGATACTGAGTGAAGCCAACTTATTATATTGGAGATTATGAATCGGAATTTCAGGAGCAGGACCACGCCCCCAAACACACTCCTTCCGGTTGTCATCTATATAGATTCCCCCAGTTCTGCAAACCGTTCATTCTCGTTTACGTGCCCCACCCTCCCTCCTTGTTCTCAATTCTTTAACTTCTTCACTTCTATTTAGTACACGGGGATCTGCCAGGCCCGGGAGCCGTCGCCAGTCCCCTTCGAGGCCTTCCCCAAACCGCGGCTCATGTCCAAGCATCACCTTTACCTACTAAAACGCTGTCAAACCTAAACTGAGGATGTGGGCCGAGCTAGTGAAAAAAAGACTACTTGGGCAGGCTGCCCAGTTCTTTTAACTGACTGCCCAATAATACTTTGAAAAACTAGATGTATTATTAAGGGTGTTTGTTTCAAAACAAGAAGCTATGAAATGATCAGTTATACTCTCATCTTGATATTAAATATCCTCAACTCCAAAGTATGGGAAGAGAAAAAGAAAAAACAAACAGGAAATTCAATAAAAGTCCTGAGTCCTGGTGAGAACTCTCAAAAATGTAATCAGTTTGTGTTTTTTGATCACTTACCTTGGCTGGCTCATGAAAGCGCTCCACAAACTCTTCATAGTCAAGAAGTTCATTCTCATCAGTTTCAGCACATGACAGCAGATACTCCGTCTCTGACTGGGTGTAGTGTTTATGGCTCTCCATGGCCTTATGAAAGTCCCTCTTGGAGATGACACCTGTTAGGTCAAACACAAATCTATAAACTTGGAAATCTTCCTGGATTCAAATGATGTAATTCCACAACAACTTATAGAAAAATAAATTACATGGACTGGCTTCCACCTCTCAATCTTTGAATTCAGGTGTTTTCTGTCACATTGTTACAGTGTATAAAATCGAGCACCTTGGCATGCAGTCTGGCTTTACAAACAATACTGAAAGAATGGGTCATTCTAAAGAATCACCTGAATTTGAGCATGGTAATGCAATTGAATACTACCATTTCGACAAATCAGTATCTGAAATTTCTTCCCATGCTTGATTGCGTGATCGGCTGTAAGTGGTAATAATGTAAAGTGGAAGCCACAGCAAGTCAGCCACAAAGTGACAGTTGCAGTGACATAAAGTTGCAGAGCAGGGATCACCGAGTGCTGAGGTGCGAGGAATCAATAAGTGATTCAATAGCTGCTGAGTTTTAAACCTCCTCTGACACAGTTCGTTTGTCCACATGTTTTCAGAGCCTTGCCTTTTCCGTCAGGGTCATATTCCTTGAACCCATCTGAGGAGGTCAGGTCCTTCAGTTTGAGGAACATGTCGAAGAACTTAAGGATCATCTCTACATTGTTGGAGGACTCAACCAACATATCCACCATCTGCTTTCCAATGGTCCCATTCACCACATTACCTGGCAGGACAAAACAGCACATTTACAACCTAAGAATACACTAAGACCACCACACATTTGTGGTTTCTACACTCTGTTCCCTAAGATCACTGTGGGAGAACTAACAAAGAAAGAAAAGAAAAAAACAACAACACAGAACTAGTTACCTTGTTTTTTGTGGCAACATATAGAAGAAATTCAATTTCACAAAGAAGACTTCACAGAGATGTTCAGTGTATTTATTCACAAGGTAACAAAATGTAACTTGCAATGTCCCCTCACTTAAACTAGTTTTGGGAGGACGATCATTTTGTAGAAAATGTTGTAGAACTGCACTTCTGCAACACCGTGACACCGCTAACCTCTGAGACACCTCTGAGATAATAAATTTCAATACCCAAACCTGTATTTCTATTATTTCTTTCAGGATGATTTGTTAAAGCAAACCTACCCTCTAACATCGACAGCAGCATAACCACCATGTCTTTCTGCAGATCCATCAGTTCCTTCAGTAACTCGATCTGACTGGAGTCCTGAGGCAAAATAAATTAAAATAACATAAAATGTTTAAAGAATTCAGCAGCCACGTGTGCTCATGAGGTGTTAAAAAGTAACAAAGAGTGTGATGGAATGACAGTGGTCAGTCAAAAGTCTAACACAGCGGTCTCCAACCTTTTTTGCGCCACGGACCGGTTTATGCCC